CACACACACACGCATTTCATTCTTTTACAAGTAACTAACTTCCAAGGAGACCCTGAGAGACTGGAGCAGACTGAAGTTTGTGCCTGCTGCTATGGCATGACGGAGGTCAAGGGCAAAGTGGAGGCCCTGTGCCACTGGCCTGGCAGTGCTCCCAATGTGATGGCCCCACAGGTGTCCCTGCAGGCAGCGAGCTCACCTCTGTAAAGCTGGCCGATGGAAAGCCAGGTCGTACGGTTATTTGATTGATCGCTTCCAGTTGCTGAAGACTTCCAGAATGACAGCGATCCTACTCTGAGCTTTAGTTTAATTAATTCCTCCACGTGGAGACTTGGCTTAATAGTATAAGGTTATGGTAATATAACATTAATTACAAGTCCTAATATCAGATCTATCACTCTGCTGACTCTCCCCTAAAAGTTTCCTTTGAGTACGTCTTTTACAGGAACGCTAACTTTGCTATCAGTCAGTTTTTGAAACTGAATCGGTCAGTTGGCGATTCATTTCTATTATTTGTCATTGATACACGTTTTTTTTCATTTGAGAAAAAGATGAAGAATACTTGGCTAAGTTTCCTGGCCTTTTCAATCCATTGCTGTTCCCTACAGAGCTAGGCTCAGTGGGCTGCAGGATCTAGACTAGCCCAAAGCCTTCAGATACTATGCGTTGGAATCAACTCAACGCCAGTGAGCCTGGTTTTTGGAAAGACTAGACTCCTTAAAGGTGGCTGGCCTTAAACATCTGTTCAACAGCATCGCACTAGAGCTCTTCACTCTAGACACAGGATTCAAGGACCAGTCCTCACCAAGCCCGGCTTCCTTTCTGGGATCCTGAAGCCCTGCCTCCCTCTCCATTCAACCAGATTCCATGCTGGAAAAGATCCGAGGAAAAGAGATTTGGGAGACTCAACATTTAACCAAAAGGGATTAGTCAAAATACAGCCCCGGACTAAATTTGCCCCGTTGGAGTAAACCCTGTGTTATCTGTTCTCTTGCTCCACAGTAGGTGAATCCACAGAAGCAAGATGAGATCAGTTCTGGAAAAACCCAAATGGTTTGGCCGGTGAAAGTTCAAGGGGGGTGCGGTAGTTACATGATCAGGTGTCAATTTAGGACTTGAGAGGATTAAGAGTGAAGGGGTGGAGTCTAGTCTGTCAATCGGGTCATAGCCAAGGAGGCCCCTGTGTGGGCGTGGCCTTCTCCTGAGGATTGTGGGAACTCCTGGATTTCTTCCTTGGAGGCACCTGGGAGAGCTTGCAGCTGACAAGTCACATGGAACTATGTAGTGCCATGAGCTGGAGAAGTCACATGGACCTACCCTGATGCAACCAGACCTCTGACGCCGGAGAAGGCACATAGAGTCCCCTGCCAGTGCCGAGATGATTACAACGCCACTGGATCCAAAGACTTTCTACCCATTGGCCTGTGATCGTCACTGCATGTGCTTCATGAGTCTGAAGAGGACTTTATCAATTGGTATCGGACATATGTGTTAATATTGGATTGGATTGTGTTAATTGGTATCGGACATATGTGTTAATATTGGACTTGGACTGGACTGGGTTGGGATGCTCTCTTAAAGTACAATTACCCTTTATATAAAACTCTCTTATACACATGTGCATGTGTATGAAATTGTTTTTCTAGTCTACCCAGACTAACACGGGGAGTAAATGCACCCTGCTACACATATCTATCCATCTATTTCAGGGGTCCTCCAAATTTTTAAACAGGGGGCCAGTCCACTGTCCCTCAGACCCGTTGGAGGGCCGGACTATAGTTTAAAAAAACTATGAACAAATTCCTATGCGCACTGCACACATCTTATTTTGAAGTAAAAAAAATGAAAGGGGGAAAAACAGGCCGGATAAATGTCCTCAGTGGGTTGCATGTGGTTCGCGGGCTGTAGTTTGAGGACCACTGATCCATTCATTCAACAATTACTGGACAGGCCCTTCGCTAGACTCTCCATAAATAGCTCCGAGTTATTGCCTACCTCAGAGCATGCACCGAGGAGCGGAGGAAAGGCGTGTGTAAGCAAGCAGTTAGAATGCAGTTTGGTGAGCGTAGTGATGGAGGTGTGAGCAGTGCACTGTGGAGTGGAGGCAGGGGAGTCAGTTCTCCCTGGGGTGTCTGCAGAAGTCATCAGGGACACTGTATATTCTGAAGTTGTTCCTACACAAAAGCCCAGGGTCTTTGGACAAAGATTTGGGGACAGGGAGAATTCAAGTGGAAGAACGGGCCTATGGAAAGGCAATGGCAGCAGTGCGTGAGGAGTCTAGGAATCTCCGAGTCACTGCCAGTCGTGCTTTGTGGTTGGCGCAACGCATATGTGAAGGGGGGGTGGGGTGGCGTGTAGAGAAAGTAAGGTTGGGAGGTCACTGTGAGGACTGACGATCACGGGGTCTTATGGAAGGTCCTGACAATGCGCTTTCCACAATCCTCTAAGCTCACAGCTCGGTGTTCCCGAAACATGCAGCAGGTCCCAACTGTTTCCCTAGTGCTTACTGTAGCTAGATCTCATCTGAGACAGGAGGGCGACACACTTGGTCTCACAATCTCCTGGGGATGTATGGCCCTGATCTGACTCCACACACCCTTTCTTATGCCTAATATCCTAAGTTACGGTAAAGACAGATGTAACAAAACGTTTGTGATGTCAACCATCTTAGTACCATTCAGCAACATTATGTTTATCATGTTGCTCAACTATAACCCGTAACCGTTCTGAGATTTTTGATAGCCGGACATATGAAAAGCAATTTACTTTCTTGGAAGGACACCTTCTATTGTTCCTTCATCCCTCCACCCCCTCCAACAACTGGACGGCATTGCACTGGGCCATCTACAAGGGCAGCTGAAGAGAGAGCTGGGTGTGGACGGAATGCTCAGTGACCGGCATCTCACTCACCTGAACTTGGACTTGGAGATCCGGTGGCTGGAAGAGAAGAAGGAAATGTTACCAGATGGCATGTGCAGGCTTTCTTCTGTTCAAAACACAGTCAACGGTCCCAGAGATGGCTGACGGTCTTTGGGAGCCACCCAGGAGGTTTCAAAAAGTCCATGGAAAATGGAATTTTTCTACCAATTAAAAAAAATAATTTCATTGGGGGCACGGACTGCTCTTATAACAATCCATGCATCCATTGGGTCAAGACCATTTGTACATATGTTGCCTTTACCATTTTTTGAAGCCCCCTTGCATGTGGGCTCTTGAAGGGCATGTGGCATGCATTAGAAAACTTTGGGGAGAGAGGACCCTATTCACCAACCATCTCCTGGCGAGGTTGGGCATTTGGACACTGAAGCCAAGAACTGAGACAGTAGATAAATCTACAGACCGATTATCTTCTAAAAGTGCCAGTCATTCATGAAGAGGGGCAACATTATGTCCTCAGGTAATGAGGGTGTGTCCAGCGAGTTGCATGAGGTCCTGGTAAGAAGGGAGCATGGAGGAGCTGCATCTTTTTTTTTCTTCTTTGCAGTAGTATTTAATGTTTAATCTACTCATCTCTCTTGAGCTAAACATTGTGACTTA